TGCGGGATATAGGATTCTCAGTCTCTCGAGCACACGCATGTTGCACTTGCCTTATTGTGAAGCCAAGTTTGTCGGATATATGTTGTAATGTCAAGCCAAGTCTTCTTAATGCTCTTATTTCAATACATTGATCGCGAGTTAGATGCTTGCGAACTTTAGTTTCTGAAGCAGACTTTTGGAGAGACATTTTTTGCTAGAAGTGAGGATGAATTGATAGTGATGTTAAGTTCGGAGGACTGTCTGGGTGAGGCAGCCAAAGGTGTCGTTGAAAATGTGTTCTTCTAAGCGATTGTTAGAAGAAGACGATTGGACCATACTTCATGGCGAGCGGGGTAATAAGGAGAGACATACTAACCTATTACGAGCTAGTCCAGCTGCGCCTACAGGGCTAATCCCTTCAACGACCCAGTTTGAAGCATAACGTTTCGAATCCTAGGACACTGTAACGTATCAAGCTAAAGCCCTGAGCCCAGGTGGCCTGACATGGGTGCATGTTCCCGAATGTTCCACAACTACCACCGAAGCTGGCCTTATATGGCCAGAATAGAATAGAATTCAATTTAAGTCCCTACTGAGTCTATGACTGGAGGGCAAGACTGAACACCTGTACGCGGTGTCCTCTACGAACCTGGGAGTGAAATATTCTCCCAGAGCCAAGTTCAGTCAAATTTCACAATATCAAAGAAGTTTGCCCACGGGGCAAAAATCCAAATTACTCATCCACGTCGTTATTTCGCTCCCAACGAGTTTGACACCTATCTTCGTCTCATCGAGTCTACAAGTACGACCAAGTACATCCTCATTCCAATGACTACACCACTCTTCGACCTTCTCTGGTCTCAGCTGGTCACCAAATACACGCCCACGCCGATATTTATACCCGACGGAGGAAGAAAAGCGTGGAGCACAAATCTGGGAGATAGCTCTTTGGGATGGACGTGAGAGGGATCAGGATAAGTTCTCAAGATGATGCAGAAGAGGGTCGTAACTTCGAAGGGCATGAGATTCCGAATTTTGGCAAGAGTTTTACGAATTGAGTTTTGTGCGCGCCAAGACTTCGCTTGCGAGAGTGTAGCTGACACTATAAAAACAAGCCAACGATAGAAGGTGTTGTGGTCCGCCTCCTGGCGGTGTTCTCCGGTATAGTTTGAGTAGCCTGGGCACCTACTCCACTTGGGAAGGAGACATCTCAGACCATATTTCGCGCGGAGAAAAGTTGAAAGATGATGGAGGCATGTCTGGATAACTCAGGGTTTTTGAGACGTTTCCCTGAGTGGGTATTCACGGATGAGGGTTGACTTGGGGTGAAGAAAAAGCCACCATAATTTCGCAGTGGTACTTGCAAATGAAATCTGAGGCATGAGTGCTCTTCTTGTAAAATAAGTCACCTGCTCTGTACTTTTCTTTGATATTGTGTCATAGCTAGATAGCTGCATACGCAATTAAAATCTGATGCAAAAAAAAAAAAAAAAAAAAAAAAGAGTCTATGACTATGAAGGACTGCTAAAGAAAACAAATCAACTTTAAAATTTAATAGCCTTTTTGACAATTGATTTACTTAATATGTACCAATAGATACTGAGGGTCTTGCCCTAATTATATGGCCAGAAATTTACGTGATGAAAATACAAAAATATCAATGGATATTCTTGCTGCCCAGACACGACGCCCTGCGCCTGAAAAGCTTTCTTAATACAGTTTTCCTGTAATGTGTGTATCCTAAAAAATCTCGAACACTCTCGTCTAACTTTGCTCCTCATAACATCCCGTCACGGTTAGGAATTGATAGAATGCTTCCCATCCCTACTCTCCCATCTGTGTCCACCCACTTGGCTCTGTCCCCTGTGTTGTTTTTTTTTCATTATTTTAGCAGTATTCGGCATTCCGAAAAATGCCGCGGGCCTCTATCTCGGCCACATTTGCACCTAAAATCTATTCCTTCATGGTAAAATCTTTCATGATGCTCGGCGAAGTATCCATGACTAGTCTCAGACGCTTTCAGACGATGATTCGCCCGTCCTGGGACATCTAGCTCTAGTGGTTGTCTTCATTTCATCAATAAGTTCAGGTCTTTGTACCGGCTAGGTCTATTTACTCGCCACCTATATTCGACAGTCTCCTCATTCAGACTCTGACGTATCGGTTTAGCGCTGCAAAAACGTGTCTTTGTCTCACTCGTTTGACAATGTCCGGCAAGTTTGGGACAATCGTAAATGACAGGGTATAAGTGGCTGAGACATGTACAGATGATGTAAGCATGCAGTTGTAGAATAGAAAATGAGAAGCAATCTGCAGGGTGATCGTCTAACTACGGTGCCTCTAGGTTCCAAAAGGTAAAACTTCAAACTGGGTCGTTGAAGGGATTAGCCCTGTAGGCGCAGCTGGACTAGCTCGTAATAGGTTAGTATGTCTCTCCTTATTACCCCGCTCGCCATGAAGTATGGTCCAATCGTCTTCTTCTAACAATCGCTTAGAAGAACACATTTTCAACGACACCTTTGGCTGCCTCACCCAGACAGTCCTCCGAACTTAACATCACTATCAATTCATCCTCACTTCTAGCAAAAAATGTCTCTCCAAAAGTCTGCTTCAGAAACTAAAGTTCGCAAGCATCTAACTCGCGATCAATGTATTGAAATAAGAGCATTAAGAAGACTTGGCTTGACATTACAACATATATCCGACAAACTTGGCTTCACAATAAGGCAAGTGCAACATGCGTGTGCTCGAGAGACTGAGAATCCTATATCCCGCAAAGGAAGCTCACCTAAATTAAGAGCGGAACAAGTTGATGAGCTTGAGGCTTTCGTCCGGGAATCTATTGAAAATCCACAGATGTGCTATTTGGAACTAGCAATTGGACCTTTCAGCCACTGGAGATGCAGTGAGGGTTTAATTTCTAATGCACTCAAAAAAATGTTACAGTAGATGCATTGCTCGGAAGAAGCCTCCGTTAAGCGCGGTGAACAAGCAGAAAAGATTGGAGTTCGCCCAATTACATGTAGATTGGAGCGATGAACAATGGAGTCGCACATTATGGACTGATGAAACCAGGGTATCGGGTGATTGTCATATTAAACCTCGTGTCACAAGAAAAGTGCGTTTAAATTCTATCAAAATCTTCCTTGTACTAGCAGCAGAGTTTAGCCTGATGATGAGTTGAATGAGGCTTGTATTGTGGCTCGCCATGCTCATGGGAACAGCTGGATGTTTTGGGGATCATTTTACGGATCACAAAAAGGCCCATTCCTAGTCTGGGAGAAGGATTGGGGATCAATGAGGTCTTCATCCTTTTGTGAAAGGATTTTGCCACTTTTGAATCAATTACACATGGAAAATCCAGGAATTCTATACATGCACAACAACGCACTATGTCATAAAGCACACTCAACAACTAAGGCGCTACGTGAGGTTGGAATAACGCCTATTAGATGGCCACTTTAATCTCCGGACCTGAACCCAATTGAGTCACTATGGAACATCTTAAAAAACCACATTCAGGTAAATAGTCCAGAGATAAATGGGGTCAGGCTTGTGCGCTCTACCACGTTGAAAACATTGTTGCAGGCCGCATGGGACTCTATACCTTCAGAGGAGCTATTGTCACTAGTTGGCAGCATGCACGAAAGATGTGTAGCAGTGATAAAGGCAAATGGAGGGTACACAAAGTATTAGGATGGAGAAGACACAAAATATTTAGTACGCTTTCATTTTAGTTGCGAGCCATACTGAGGGCTTCGATGTAGACTTTTGTAATACAGAGCAGTTATTTTTGAAATAGATGTGCATATTTAGAGAATGTCTATTGATTTTTTCAATTTTGAATTTCAACTGAGGACCATTGTACTTTTCCCGTTGGGTTCAAAACCATCCCCATAATTTAGACTTTCACGGAATGTCATTGGATAGTTCCTCTTGCTTGCATAACTAGTCAAGTAACTAGGCATGGGCCTGCATGAAGACCATACCAATTAAAGCAATACGTACAGGGATCTAACCCCAGTCATTTTGACAACTTTACCTTTGCCATCCATAAGAGACTGTAGAACACTATATTCTGTGCCTCATTCGCCCTACGATAGTATTACTTCTGATAAATCCTAAATTAGACATACATTCGGAGAGCCATTTAACCTTAACTATCTATCTATTCCTACTAACTAAACAATGGCCATTTGTAATTGTATGGCAGCCAGTAATAATCGAAAAAACTTATGTTTTCCAGACCTAATGTCTACACGAGCCCTAAAGCTAAAGGCAAAGGCATAACTATCACTAAAATGCGTTGGAATAAGTCGTCAAGCTGAGTGCTACAAACTTCTGTACATCTAGAAATTCGCTCTCTGCCTTACTAGCTTTATTTCAACCTTATCCATTATTTGTGTCTGGACAACTCAAAGGTTGTGCTGGATTCTCAGAAATTACATGTTAAAATGTGTCTACTACATACTAGCCTAGCTAAAGTTCGTACCGTCTTGGGAACTATTGATTGCCTTAGATTCATCGACATGAGAAATCATCCCTGCTAGTTTTTGACTCAATCTTGGCTCTTTAAACTCTAAGGTGAGAGCAGCAAGTCCGAAGGAATCAACGCTGACGGGATTCCTCGTCTCCCAAAGACGGTATTTAAATTTGTCAAACGCAATGTAATAGTAAATTTAGTAACAATGAGCAAGCTCTCATTATTCTAGATAATATGTGACCACCCCTATGAAGATTCATTTTGATTTAATAAGTCAGTTTTCCATTCATTTATGGGCCATACCGTGCAACAGCGCCGTAGCTCGGCGATTAATAAATCTCAGGCTCGTCATCATTTCCCTGCAGGGATTGTCATGGCACTCATAAAGCTTACTCGCTGCCTTGCTGTCATAAATCTACGATAGTCAAATCCATGGAAAAGCACCTGGGTGTATTTATACTCGAGAAATCTGCCATCCCACTTGCTTCCCAATGGTTGTCACCGTTTAATTCCGGCCCATCAGCTTTAAAAATTTGCTATGTCGACCAATTCGCCAGCTCGAGAGCAACGGGCCCCGGATGCAACCAATCGTGTTGACGCAAACGAATATAAGAACATGTTAGAGACTGAGATTCAGGAACCAAACGTAGCAACTTATTCATTTGATCCAGATGCAACCCCCCAAGAAAAAGCAGCCCAGGCTCGTGCAGTAAGCCGCGTCTAACTCAATATCTATTGATGAAAGCTAATTTAAATGCTAGCGTGTGCCAGCCGGATTTCATCATCAGCAAAAGTCTCTCGCCACTCCTATCGTTACTGATATAGACGATGGAACACTGACACGCGATCTCTCTCCACAAATCATAGCTAATACCTCAAACACATCTGACCCAACAAAAAATAAAGAGGCAAATCACACACATGCCAAAGTCTCGGGACCCCAAGATGATATTGATGAAGAAGATAAAAGGTGGATTGAAAGGGCTGGCTGGGCACCTAGATTTGGAAATCCTTGCAAAGTAGAAACCGAAGAACAAACTCCCACTGATCATCAAACGTGGGTTGAGGGTCATCTTGATGACAAGTTTTTTGGAGGTGAGTCACAATATAAAATTCCATGTCTGATCTCAAGATTAATTGCAAACTTAGACTGGTATCACAATACGGCCGTAATAATATTTTCCTGTCTTGCTTCATGGCTAGTCGCCACTCTAGGTGGCGGACTTGCCTGGATTTTTCTAATAATCGCTACTTGTGGCACATATTATAGAACCTCTCTCCGCAGGGTGCGAAGAAATTTTAGGGATGATATTTGTCGAGAACTTGCGATCAACCGACTAGACACAGACACAGAGAGTCTTGAGTGGATTAATAGTTTCTTGGTCAAATTCTGGCCCATATTCCAACCTGTATTCGCCGAATCCGTAATCAACTCTGTTGATCAGGTCTTAAGTACGTCCACTCCTTCGTTTTTGGATAGCCTTCGCATGAAGACCTTTACACTTGGTAGCAAACCTCCTCGCATGGAGCATGTAAAAACCTATCCAAAAGCGGAAGATGACATTATCTTAATGGATTGGAAGTTCAGTTTTAATCCGATGGATAAAGCTGACATGACTTCTCGCCAAATTAAAAACCAAGTTAATCCAAAGGTAGTCCTGGAGATTAGGATTGGAAAAGCTATGATCAGTAAAGGGCTGGACGTCATCGTCGAGGACATGGCTTTTTCTGGTCTCATGCGCATCAAGATAAAGCTTCAAATACCATTTCCTCACGTTGACAGAATTGAATTCTCTTTACTAGAAAAACCTCATATCGACTATGTGTGTAAGCCTCTTGGAGGAGAAACTCTGGGCTTTGATATCAATTTTATTCCTGGTCTTGAGTCATTTATTTTGGATCAAATTCATGCTAATATTGGTCCAATGATGTATTCACCAAATGTATTTCCGATTGAAGTTGCTCAAATGATGAATAATTCGGCCATCGATCAAGCTCTAGGTGTTCTAGCTATAACCCTGCATGGAGCACAAGGACTCAAAAATCCGGACAAATTTGCAGGAACCCCCGACCCATATGTTTTGATTTCGATAAACGGCGGAATTACCCTAGCACAGACTAAAACAGTGAAAGAAAATGCAAATCCCAAATGGAACGAAACTAAATATGTCATCATTACAACCTTTACTGACACTCTCACTTTGGAGCCATACGATTACAACGAATTCCGTAAGGACAAAAAGCTTGGCACCGCCACATTCCCTCTCGAAAAGATAAAAGATATATTCGAATATCCTAACGAACATTTAGAGGTGGTGGCGAATGGCAAATCTTGCGGCATCATAATGACTGATATTAAATTTTTCCCTGTTCTGAAAGGTCTAGAGCAGCCTGATGGAACTTATGGCCCTCCTCCGGAATCTAATACAGGAATTGCAAAGATAACTGTTGAACAAGCCAAAGATCTTGATGGAACTAAAAGTTTGATCGGACAACTTAATCCATATGCAGTCCTACTTTTAAACGATAATGAAATCCATGTCACTCGCAAGCTTAAGCGGACCAACAATCCCATTTGGGAAAATGGCTCTAAAGATATCCTAATAACAGATCGGAAATCAGCAAAAATTGGACTCATCATAAAAGACGATAGGGAACTTTCTACAGATCCTGTTTTAGGCACTTTTAATGTAAAACTCGATGATATATTGCAATTCATGGAGAAAGGACAAGAGTGGTTCAATCTAATGGGGGTGAAGACAGGCAGAGCCAAACTAACGCTTCAATGGAAACCTGTGGCGCTGACAGGGGCTGAATTAGGGACAGGAGGGTATGTTACTCCCGTGGGTGTTATGAGATTTCATTTCAGAAGCGCAAGGAAGCTTCGAAACTTAGAAACTCTCGGCAAGTCAGATCCATATGTTAGAGTCCTTCTTTCAGGAATACAAAAAGGCCGAACTGTCACGTTTAAGAATAATCTTAATCCTGACTGGGATGAGATCATCTATATTCCCGTTCATAAAACAAGTGAAAAAATAACACTTGAGGTTATGGACGAAGAGTCGATTGGCCATGATCGATCCTTAGGGATGGTAGAAATCTTGGCTTCAGAATATATGGTGCAAGATCAAAGTGGAGAGTTTCTTGCTCGACTTCCTACAGCCCGTGTTGGAGAATTATGTATGCACGGCAAAGGTTCGCCACGAGGCTTTTTAAACTATACAGTAGCCTTCTACCCTTGCTTAAATGTAGCTGATTTAGATGAACCAGAGGATAAGCCTTCGAGAAAAAACTCATTGACTAACAATGACGAAACAATAGAGAAGGCTTCTGTTGTTAGAGATGAACCTTTGTGTTCTCCGCTAGATGAAGAAATCATTAACGGCCATCATCCTCCTACGCTCGTTACCAACGAAAAAAATCAACTACAAACAAGAGAAAATGTTGCTCCTGTATTCAGGCTTACGAGAGAAGAACTGTTAAAATACGAGTCTGGGCTGGTAGTATTTAAATTTCTTGAAGTCGAAGTTCAGAAGACAAACGTTCACCTAGAGGTTCTTATGGATGATATGTCATTCCCGTCATACTCCTCATCATTAATAAGATCCAGGAAAGCGCAATTGAGCGAGACTGGAGACTGTTTTGTCCGAGAGCTTGACTTTTCAAAAATAACTCTTCGAATCCGGGAAAAAGGGAAAAACCAAGGCGATGAAAAAAAGGGTAATGACCAAACGTTAGCTAAGCTCACTGGAAAATCTCGAGAAACACTACAGCAATGTCTTGTAAGCAAAATGATTAAACTAAATATTGCATACTAATATCCAAACTTACAGAATAATCCTACTACATTAAGTCTCAAGAGCGAGGATGGCAGTATATATAACGTCTCAGTCGTTCTGAAATTTATTCCTGTCAAGATGGATCTCGACCCATGTGAAAGTATCAATAATATGGGAAAACTCCGTGTTGATATTCTAGACGCTCTTGAACTTCCTTCTGCAGACAGAAACGGATTCAGTGATCCCTACTGCAAATTTGAGCTAAATGGCAAGGATGTACATAAAACTAAAGTCCAAAAAAAGACATTACATCCTGTCTGGAATGAATATTTCGAGGTTGATATTGCATCAAGAACTGCGGCACAATTCAAATGTACTGTATTCGACTGGGATTTGGGGGACAAAGCAGATCTCCTAGGATTAACGACGATTAATCTAGCCTCCCTTGAGCCCTTGAAGGTTCAGGAGTGTAATTTGGAGCTCGATGGAAAATCCGGCTCGATTCGATTGCGTCTCTTATTTACGCCAGGATATGTAATCCGTACACGTCAAGGGTCCTCAAGTATATCTGGAACATTCGCGGCACCAGGTAGAATTGTCACAGGTGTTGCTGGAGCACCAATAAAAGGCGTAGGTTTTGCAGCACATGGTGTTGGAAAGGGGGCAAGTTTTATACGCAATGGATTTAAAGCGAAGAAGAAAACTGACGATGAAATAAACATTGCCGACCAGAGTGGAGTTGAGCCAGGAGATAATACTCCAACCATTAATATTAATCCTAACGGATCAAGGAGAATAAGTGGTCAGAATGATGGACCACCAATTTCTTTTAATTCCTCGATACACGGTCGGACCAAAAGTTTTGCTGGCTCATCAATCCATAGCACTAGCCAAAGTGGGTTTGGTACCAACGTTGGCACTGCAACATTTACTATCCTTTCAGCTAGTGGCTATCCACCATCAACAAATCTGATTATACATTTTAAAATGCTTGGCCCGAGAACAAAAACTCTTCATAGGACAGAGCACATAAAATCGCCTACAGGAGAAGTTTCTTTTGATGATAAAAAAGAAACTTTCAAGTGCATCTGCTCTGCGGATACCCGATTCCAAATTGTAGTGAAAGATCACAAGACATTCGGGAGCGATGATGATCTAGGTGAATGTCTATTTTTCGTTGACGAATCTGGCACCGGGGCAGAAAAACAAGTCAAAGTTGGAAGTGGTATTGTGGTTATCAAAAGTAATTTTAACCTAGAATCGGAGTCACTCGAAACCCACCCACGGTCTGCTAGTGGCGGATTCAGGAGGAGCCTTTTGGGAAAATTAGATAATGGTAGAGGTAGTCGAGATACTCCTTCACCTACATTACCCTTGCCGACTTGATCGATAATTCCGGATGAAGTAGGTATGGGCCATCAAAGCTTCAAATTTTGTGGAATTTTTATCTGTTTCTTGTAGACAAACCTTCGCTTAAGAGCTTATATATAATACTTATTTTCGTACCTGTCACTATATGGGCTCTCTTGAAAAATATCATCACTGTTCGAATGCCGAATCAAATGTGCTTGAATCATTAGGGTGAATATTCTTGAGTTGTTTTGTGACTAGTTATTTTACGCTCAGACTTTGGTTGGTATATCTGGGTAGAAAGTGTATGCGGGAACAGTTGCGATTCAAATCTGGTGATTGAGTTTCCTCAGGCGTTAAAATTGTTAAGTCTGGTGTAGATGTTGCGAAAAATATTCATAAACCAATGTAAAATTTACGTTTTGCGTCAAGCCTTGGTTGCTACAACAAACTACATAGACGACTCCAAACAAGCTCAAATTCAGTGACGTTGTTCATGTACACTACCTGTAGCACTTGCGATGCACTGACTGGATTTTTTTGTGAATGTCTCAACCGAACTGCTCACAATGGCTCAGTGCTTAGTACCATCGACTAATATTTGTAAAATTCTTGGCTCCAATACGACCTCATAATACCCAATTCTTTATGCCTACAACAAAAATTTCACGGTCATACAAATGAATCTATGCGAATGACTGGTTAGTAGTTCTTGGTGCCTTAACTATTCGTTATCAGTATAACACCGATCTGCATAACCAAGAACATAAATCTGTACTGAAATCTAATTGCGTTTCCATCGCTTCCGTGCAAACGAATACCCATCACTCAAAGCTCATAAGATCGTCTTCCTTGCTGCTAATTATTTTCAACAGGCTCATAACGCCAAATCACCTAATAAATATCCCCAATCGCAGCCCATGACTTCTTATTCGTCATATTACATCGTTATATATAGCTAAAACCGCAAAATTGAATAAACAGATATACTTTTGTCTGGGATGAGAGACATTTGTAGAATGACTTTCTTTTTTACGGCCAGGTCCGTTTAAGATCACTAATCATTGTAGAGATTGTATAACTAAGTTGCTAGATTTCTTTTTGGCAATGGAATAAGACTAACACGTCTATGGGCCGCCAAAGAGCTCACTGGTCTATTTGGTCTTGTAGGTGTGTATTCACTGGCTAAACGATTTGCCCGAGAAAATAAAGAGTCTCTATGGCTAACACCTAAACTGGATATTGAATGTTGATTGTGGAGCTGATTTTGGGTTAGAGGGGGCCTCGCAGTGGATATTGGATTTTGCTTTGAGTAGCGGCCTGAATTTTCAAATCGTTCGCGTAAAGCCAGTCGAGACCTTGAATTACGAGATGGGGTTGAGTTCGGAGCAAGAAAACAATCATTACTTGAGCTCAAAGGGGAGCTAGTAGCCATCTTAAAATCGCTTGTAGAACGAGACGAGCACATAATATTTGATTTTGGTGTAATGTGTGATATTGGGGTAAGCGGTTTGAAGTTCTGACTTGTCGGCCCCTCTGATACTTTTGTGCTTGAATTCCACCTTGGTTTTGCGTCTGAAGTTTGGGCCGGAGATGCCTTATTAGATCGGTGGCCTATTGGTGTAACATTTCCTTGCCTTGAGGGGGAAGAAACTGGCGATGGTCCAACAGTGGATAGCCGACTAGATATACCCTTTCGGGGGAGACGAGTTGGACCTATGGGTAAGCTGCTAGTTCTCCTCCCGCTCGAAGATGAAAATTTGTTTCTATTATTTGGTGGATGGGATACATTTATTAAAGAATTGTTGTTCTCCCTATGGCTAGTTGTGATAATAGAAGAATCTGGAGAGCTTCTGGGCGTTTCGTGTAGACTACCAACTATTGAGCAATCGTTGGAAATCATACTCGAAATAGAGTTGCTAAGAGGTCGCTTCTTATTCTGCGTATTGAACTCGGAGAGTTCTGCGTCAAGCACATCCATCTGGTCTTTTAAAACCTCCCATTTTCGTTGCATTTCCCAGTGAAGACGTAGAATCTCACCATTTACTGTCAAACGTTTCTTAACCCCCTCATTGATAATAGAAAGCACTTGTTCTATTGCAGGGCCATAGTGTTGCTTCTTTTTTTCGTAATGTTTCACTACTGATGCTGAATTCTCCAACTGAGCGCCTTCATCGACTGCCTCCGTGATCTTGATAACACTACGTCGTACAGATTCGTACATTCTTTGCGCCTGCTGGCCAGCTGCTTTAAATACTAAAACCCATCGATCTTCGCCAAGTTCTTTCCGTAATGATTCGGCATCTCTCTCTAAGTTTTTCCAGCAACCCTCTAACTCCTTCAGTTTAGATTTGAGCTCTCCGCAAGCGGTTGGGAAGATTTTTTCTGCTCTGGGAAGAAATGTAGATAGCCGCATAGGGAAAAAGTCTAAAGATGCACGAAGAGGCTGCATTCGAGCAAACAATGCCAGTAAATTCGAATCATCGAATTCAGGCATCTTGGCCTGAATGGGCGAGTTTAAGCCCATAGAAGATAAGCTTGTGCCAACTTTATGCTTGTTTCTTTTAGATTGCGACGATTCTTCCATAATTGTTTCTAGCTCTTCGAGCCCTAATCCATCAGGATTAGCCACGAAGGTAGACCTGTGTCTCTTCTCTTCCATCTCAAATACTATAATCATTAATACGTTCATTTCTGCTCCGATATCTCCTAGAACTGTGTTCCATAATTCTTCCCATTCCATAGCAATTTCGACAGACGTTTTAACGTCTTTCATCATTTTTTTAATATTAAACCACTCCTCAAAAGTGATCTGAACTTGCTCTATAACTACATTCAACTCTTCTACCGTGATGTTTAGTATATCATCTCGAGCCTTTAGCGTATCGAGGGCATTTCCGAATATTTTGATGAGTTCTTCAAAACGAATGATGGCATTATCGACATCCTCTAAGCCTTCTCGACCTCCAGCAGCTGCCCATTCTACATCATCTTCACCATCTAAACCAGCAACAACCTCAGCAGCTTTGGTTATCCAGCCTCTTATTTGTTCTGAAGCTCTTATTAAAATCTTTGAAGCTATCTTAGATGTAGGTATAGCAAGTAATTTTGCAGAGAGTGACTCGGCATCAGGAAGTTGTAAAGAAGTTAGCTGGGCTAACTGGCTAGCAAACGAGACTCGAGAGAGTGTGTATATTGAGCCACTTCGCTGTAATCCTATTGTATTAAAATGAGATGATGGTTGTAATACGAGTTGTGCAGGCCAGGTGATTTCAGATGAGGGGTCGTTGACAGGTGATGGGTGCGATATTTTGCTACTATCTGTATAAGCTTGATTCGAAGAATCATCATTCTCACTATCCTTAGCTACGTTATCGGATCGGTTTACGATTTTTACTTTCGTATCTACCGATCTATAATCTTCCTTGTGAGCCATTGCACTGAGTGCTGAATCATTTTTAGGTGCTTCAAGAACGATAGAATTAGATTTAATGAGTTCTTCATTAGTTACATCTGATTTTCTTTGCATTGATTTTGTATCGAATAAATTTGTATCTTGTTCTCGTGTAGCTGAAGACATATCTAAGTTCGCAATGTGAATCTTGTCAAGATTATTCAACTTTGATTCAGGAATTCGACCAATCCGATCATTTAATTTCGATTGCGTCTTAATCCTAGAATAGGTCTTGCCAAAACCAAGAGCTTGGAATCGGGCTGTGAGACCTAGTGAGGGCTTTCGCGCTTTACTTCTCTGATTAGATTCGACGTCTAAAGGTGCTGATGTTGGCGGGCTGACAGGTGGTCGAGGTGTTCGAGCACAGTGGCTGTAAGAGATGGTGGGTCTTTGCGTCGCAGCTCGGTCTAGTCGTTGCGAAACGGTCATACTTTGCGTACAAATCTCGTGTATGTTCAATAAATAATTCTAGAATGAAGAAAAATTATAACTATGATTGTGATGTTATTTCCAGTTATTTTCCCTAAGAAACGCCTTGATTATAATTGTGGATGGAGATGGAGAAAGCCTTCTTGATAGCCGTCTTTCACATCGTTTGTGAAGCTCCTAACCCTGATTACGGACCGAAAAATTAGATCATTGCTTCCCTTGAAGATGCTAAATATCTCTCCTTGACGTAGAAAAAAATTTGATAGAATTTTACTGCGCGAAGTTATACATGGCAAATTCTGTATTCACAGTTGCCTCGTTCAAATCCTTCATTATGGTTCAGTAAATAGGGTTAGGAACATTCAATCATAAAACACCATATAGTAGCTGCCAAGCTAGTGTTTCCCCTGAGCAATCCAAAATATCCGTTTCTTCATTAAGCTAAAAAATCCAAAGAAATCCATTAACTAACGATCCATTCTCGCATTCAATAAGGCCTAACTAAACTAGAGGAAGAAAATTGAACGCAAGTCAGCAGGTTCAAATTTGTAACGCGAGAGAGAAATTCCCTCGAAATTGGGACCCATTTATAACATTATCGAAACCATTTAGATTTGAAGGATCATCAACTTGTAGATATTTTGCTGTACGAAGGTGGTCCAAAAGGTAGTCGACAAAGTCTTCCTCACTGAATTTCTATCTTAGCAAAAATTATTGCTACAGAGAAGTAATCCACGAGTCGATCCAGATCTATCTAAGATCAATTCTTAAACAAGCGAAAAATATCACTATAATATTTCTTGATATAGACCTTCTAGATGGCTATCAGATCTATGACTCATCTCAGAGAAAATAGGCAACCCCGAAATATGTATCTTAATTTAGAGTTTTATGAAAGAAATAAAGTGTGATTAAATTGGATACTAGAAAGAAATGTCACGACAGGTAAATTCTTGTTGCTCGGCTTGGTTCCAAACGAGATGTAATCAATCTTTGATGAGAAGTTGCAATTTCAGGTCAATATAAAAATAAAAAAACTGTAGACACCCGGAATATTTATTTTGCTAAAATTCCTGTAATTCAAAGGCAAATTGTAACATTTATTTTGAGCATTAGTGGACAAAATGTGGTTTTTTCATAGTCAAATTCAGTCTGATAAAATAGATGAGTGGAGACTTCAATGATCTGACCATCCATACAGGACTAGACCCATTATACTCCGATCGGTACTTAAACTGATTAATCGGAATACAATTTTACTAAAATTCCCAAGGTAGAAGAAATTTTCATATGTCTGGCAGATAAAAGTAACACAGATGTTTTCTAATATGGGTAATGTTCACAGTTTAGCTATTCTAGTGAATTATTTAATCACGAAAATCTTATCAAGTAGAATCGAATTAATTGGTTCAGTTTTGGATAGCAGATTGCTTTCAAGCTAAAAATCAATTTTTGTAGCACGACTTAATTTTGGACCTAGCTTTACATTTTCATTGCATAGTAATAACAGCTCTTCAGTTTGTTAACACACGCTCGCCACAACGAACTCAGATTATACAAGGGAAAATGATACGGCACGGGAGGCACCATGGCATTCACAATTCACGATTTGAATCTTTCCCGATACCACTCACCTCTACTATTAGATTCACGACAGTACTAGTTGACCAGAGTATTATGAGCCCCCATCCAATTCGCCGGCTGATGATCCATCCGTTCAGGGGGACTGCTACTAAGAGTAAAAGGAGAGTAACGAGCAGCGTAAATGCACTGATCATTAAAGTAGTGCTTATTTCAATCTCATATGGTACGTGCCCGACGTCTTCTGTGGTTGATTCCTTTACAGTCATGTAAATACCACTTAAACCAACACCAAACAGTATATTGAGCATTGGACCACCAAAACAGGCTGAGAGTGCCATGATTGGATACCCAAGTCGTGCCACAGTTATATCTGCTACTAGATCACCTAAAGAATTACCAACGGCGAAAATCGTGAGACCCAGTATGGCATCTGATATGCCTAAGATAACTCCGACCGCTTTGAGAGCCCCTACCACCTCGTTTGCGATAGTGGATATCCAAGCTATAGAGACAGCAAATCCTAGAAAGCATAGAAGGAATCGATATTTTGGTTCTTTATTTGGTGAGGTATAAAGAAAAAGGATTAGATACGTGAGTATAGACCCAATAAAGGAACAGAATATCATCCTTATTAGAATAAATATATTTTTATCAGCACTATTCGCCCATAAAATTATAACCATAAAAAGTGGCGCAGTAAATATCTGAAGAGAGACTAGCCACCTGTTCCAGTTTTTAGTGAGAGTGGGATCTAATTCTGTATTTTCTTGCACCAAATGACCTATTAAGTTTTCACTGGCACAATAAAGAGATGTAAGGGGTTGATGAGTTAATTCATCCACACCAGTAGGGCCATACGAATGATTTCGATATAACTGATTCTGACACATTAAACTCCGGCTATCTACGGCTCTTTTATGAATAGGTCTTTCTATCTCTGGTAATTGTGAAGAGTTCTTAGGAGCTAAAGTGGAGACAGTTGTTCTCTTCTTTGGATTTCTTGAAGGGTTATTGGACTCAAGAAATGAATCAAAATTTGTGTTATTGGTGATAGTGGTTTCTGACAAGACTTGTTCCACAACAGGCAAAGTTATAGTTAGCAAAAAAATACTTGGTGCAGATACAACGCTGACGAACTTTTCCCAAATGGTTTTATCTCTCCATGTGCACAGTGTGGGGAACAGAGTATGTGCAAGAATGGAGAGACTTGGAAAACTTTGGTGTAATCGCCAGCTTAGCAACTTGTTTTGGCATGTTTGAGGATATTCAACAACCGGAGTTTGTGGACTTCTGTCTCTTTGAGGAAATATGAAGCTCGGAGCCGTTGAATTTTGATTAGAATACTCATGATGAGGATCAATATAAGTGGGGAACGGTAATGTGGGAGATTTTGAAGAGGGTGAGCTATCTCTAGATGAAAACTGGCCTCGAGAATTTCTAGCAGCGTGAGGTGGCTTTTTCGTAGAATCTTTTAACAAGTCCGGGCATGTGGGATTCAAGCTTCGATTTGAAATGTTGGTGGTTAGAAACATACCCCCAGTAGAGCTGGCATCTGGTGGAGCAAGGGTCTCACGTCGTTGACTCGTGCGAGAGAGAGCAGAGTTTAGGTTGTCGGAGCTTTCTGATTGTGGTGACGGTGCGTAAGATATTGACGGAAACGGTGACTGACACATCTTTGTATCTAAAAGTAGATCAATACCTTTCCGAGATGTTGGTGTTGCTCCAGCTACCCCAATATCCGGGATAGTTGTGTTGCTAAAAGCCACCGTATTCTTAATTTCTACAGCGGTAACAATTGGCTTATTGTTGGGTGACATTGTCCGTACTTCAGGAAAGAAGGAATCAAGAGTTTTGGCATGGTTTACCGAACTTGTATCTTCGTCCACATATGGATTTGTTGGATTGGGTTCATCCGAATATTGATCAAGGTAGATTAATTGACTGTTGACATGCTTTGACTTAAGCTCGAAAGATGATAAAACAGATCGAAACTCTAGAGCTCCTACTAAACTTGGTCTTATTGGCGTTATCGTATTGTTGCGAGAGCCTTTTGGACGTGTGACCCGCATATTACTCGACATTTCAGCGGCTAACCTAATCGCTTGACTGGATTCCTCTTCAGTTTCATCCTCGAAGGCAGTGATTTCAGGGACAAATCTTTGTTCTAAAGCGTTGAAGTCGACGGTATCAGTATCTCTGCGTCGTCTCTCCGGGATGGAAGTATCATCATCATACGTTTCGGTTACCACCGCTATCTCTTCATTTGTTATTGCCAAATAATGGCCACGAGCAGCAGCTTCCCTTTCTCTTCTTTTGCGTCTCATTCCAAGTAACCAATGCCAGAGTACTACAATCACTACATATAATATGTAGAAGCCAACCATCACACAGCATTCCCAGAAATAGAGCAGGCCATCTGCTAGCATTATGATGGTGAAAATCGTTGCGACAATAAAAAATCCGATATCACGAACGAAAGTTTTCTTCCCGACCTTAAACTCTCTAACTAACGCCATAGAGCCAACTACTACAGCCGTAATAAATCCTGCAGCTCCTATCAATTCTCCAATAGCTAAGCCTCCACTATGGGAGGTCATAGCTGCAAATGTTGAAAATACATCCGGGCTGCCGTTTCCAAACGCGAGAAAAGTTGTTCCAGCCAAACTCTCGCTCATTCCAAGTATGGAAGATATGGTACTCAGGTTAATACAGAAAAATTCGGATGCTGCGATTCCGATAGTCGTAAACAATAAAGCTAGCCATGTAGAGAGAATTATGAAAACCAAAATTGGAGCATTTGGTAAGTAGCAATAGTATAAAGATAGATAGGAGAAAAGTCCGGCTTCTTCGTCTCGGCAATTACTTCTAACAAAGGCGCATTTATCTTGTACTTCATGAACCATTGTGCACTGCAGAAATAGGTTAGACTGTATACAAGGCTGTCTAGGGCTTGTTTACCCACATCATTCCGCTCATTGGACGGCAGAATACTTGATCGCTTCGTGATGGCGTTCTGGTATCCATAAATCTTGCTTTTGCGCTGTTCACGGAAATTCGAACTTGTAACTAAACCACCAAGAGCTAAGATAAGTGTACATAGTAAAATACCAGAGAAGACAAGACGGCTCAGGCTACTAAGAGCAAATTTTTGAGTACTAGCGGTAATTGGGAAAAGGAGCCGCATGGTGTCTGAGCATGGTTTGCGAAGATCTGAGCAATAAAATATTAATTATTTTTGTATAGAGTATTTAGTGATACGTGGAGCAGTTGCAGTCTTTCAAAGAGTTATTGTGATACGGTTATCGTCATTGCAACAAGTACGTAAATGGCTTACAAGATTGGCACGGGGCAGCTGACATGTCAGACGGGCTCGAGGTCTGGTCGACCGGGATGTTGCGTGTTTACAGCCTCTCGTTAGTAAGAATCAACAAACACAAAGTTGAATCCATCCATTCGTGTTCCACTCAGAAAGATTATTATGGCTCGATTAACGCATCGCCATAGGCGCGGCGCGTCTGGATCTTTAACAACCTCACCATTAAAGTCACCCCTAAAGTAAGTGCGATATTACCTAACAACTTTTATCTCCTAATAAATTACTGCGCAGGATCCCGTTGAATGACGATGTACAAGAGAAGGCTAAGAGGCTACAGTCGCGGTATGCAATGCAAGATATCCAAATGAATCAGATAAAAGCGGCAGCAAGCCCTATTCGAAAGCATGCAAATTTGGAACAAGCTATCTCTTCCCCTCCAAGGACCAAACCTAAAACGCCTCGAAGATCCAGTGATGAAAAGGATCCTGATGATGAACTATTTAAAGTTGTAGGAAATGCAGTAACACCCATGAAGCGCGTTCCAATCCTGGCTAATTTCGAAGAATGGATGAAGATGGCTACTGACAACAAGATTAACGCCACCAACTCATGGAACTTCGCATTAATTGACTACTTCCATGACCTTTCACTTTTGAAAGAAGGAGACGGTGTGAATTTTCAAAAAGCAAGCTGTACACTTGACGGATGTGTCAAAATCTACACTAGCAGAGTTGATAGTGTTGCTACTGAAACTGGAAAGCTACTAAGCGGGCTAGCTGATAGTTCAAAGTTGAAGAAGAAAAATATTGAAAGTTTAGATGGCGAAGAGAGCAATGACGACATTGAAGACGACGACGGTGGAGCCAGAAAGCGGTCAAAAAAACGAGTAAGTCTATTTTTATTAATTTTACGAATCAAGCTGTTCGAGCTGTAATTCTGTATTAGCTTTCTTCACATAATAAATAAAAGCACTTGTTTGAAATATTATCTCTTTTGTAGTCAAAATTGAAAGCATGAATGAATTTTTCTTTAGGTATATCGAATTCTTGAGCTCAGGGACAGATGTTATCTATTATCAAATGCGCAGAAATATTCCGATTTTCCGACCTTCAATGATAACCTAAATGTTATTTCTTCACTGCATACACAATTTTGCCCTAGCATTTTGATAAACAAACAAAGTGCAATTCGAACGAGAGACACTAAACTTCAATTCATACAATTAAGCCCAAGTTATCATTTCATGGCTTTGAAGTGTTTTATCAAATCTACCCACAAATTTAAGAATCACACCTACCATGCTATAATGATAATATAGAGTTCACTCAGAGCTCTATACATACTTCCTGTTCTTTCTATTGGAATTTTACAATTTTAACTGAAAGATATTAACATTATCATTTTCAAATGTTCTAATCTAATTATTTTCGAAAGTTGTCGGATTATCTGACATGAGAGGCTCTTCATGATTTAAAAACAATCAACTGGAAAGCCATACAAGTTAAAACTTCTATTGTTTATAAAAGTATTGGTCTCAAGTGTCTCCCTGCATTGTTTTAGCCTTATACTTTTTATTCTTCGCAAGGCTGTAAACGCTTGAAAATTTACTCTAAGCAGACAAAAGTAGTCCTCCGATTCAACTGACTTGACTCACGATCCAAGATTTAAATTTTCATATAATTTTTACACAAAAATCTGTCAATAATAGGGCTTACTACAACAGATGTAGTGTAAACGGCTCTATTGTAGTTTGAAATATAAACACAACACCTCTAATTGTTTTAACATATAATAAATACAATAATCAGCCTATCGCCATGATTTTACGAGGCCATCAGGCTTCCCATGTATTTTTTAAGAGAAAATATTAATTTTGCTGGATTTTAATAGGCACAACGATCTTCTGACGTTACTCTTGCAACATCATTCGCCTCACTTCAACTAGTCAAAGTCGAACTCGAATTTTCTGTAGATCCGCTTTTCAAGAAGGCATCTGCTGACTTCGATGAAGGCGGTGCTAAAGGCCTCCTCCTTAATCACTTGTCAATTGATGGCAAAGGACGTGTCGTTTTTGATAGTAGCGACGATGCGGAGGATATAACTTCAGCTAGTTCAGCCAACGATACTGGAAGTAACGGCCCCGACGTGAATGAAGAATCTCAATGCCATTCAATATCTAAGACTCTATGCTGCGATGGAAAATCTGAAGGAGATGATGATATCGATATTTTATCGCTCGGAGCTCGTTTTTTCCCCAACTTGAAAACTCTAGATGATCAAGATATATGTCCTTCACTGAAAAACTACCTGCTTAGCGATTTTTCTAGCCTTATGAATATTCCAAACCTGAAAGCGCCTGAAGATTGGCGTCAGGATAAAGATAGTCTGGCTACTAACGAAGGAACTAATAATCAATCAGATTTGATAGATGAAAATCAAAATAAAGTTAGTGACGATGATGATGATGATGGGCTAATTCAGGGAGTTGATGTAATGAACAGTATTGGATTTGGTGAGGGTGGAGAAGCTTGGGCTCGTGACACATTTATTTCAACAAGTGGTGGAGACCATGAAGCTGATGATAGGGATGATGCCGTTATAGAAAATTATCCTTCCCTAAAAGATCAGAGTAGAAACATGCGGCAACACGACTATCACGAAATCTTCAACTACTTTGATGGTGCACTACACAAAAGTTGGGCCGGACCTGAGCATTGGAGGATTCGAAAAATAAAAGATAACATGAAACCAACGACAGTCAGGGCTCGAAAAGAAAAAGAACCCTTTTTGATTGAGTTTTCTACATTAGTTAACGGTAAGATAGACGATGCTCTCTATGTTCAGGCATCTTCAACCAGTGCAATTTCCCTCCCTAAGAAAGAATGGAAGTCCAAGAGCAAAAATCTATTGCCCGATGACAAGCATTTTAACTCAAAGCAGCTTTTACGGCTTTTCCTTAAGCCAAATGCGCATATCAGACTTGGTGGCAAAGGCTTCCATTGCAATCAAGCGGTGGGTGCATTCCGAGCCCCAGAAGATGGATCTTCAATTGGTAACATGGACGAAGCCTTCTGGGCTCAAAAAAATGAGGCTGTTGAAGATGATTCCACAACTCGCGGTAACTATGACGCTGAGTTTTTCCAAGATGACGGATTATCATCACCGGTCCAAATGGATGATACAGATTTTGCCAATATTACAGAGAATTTATCATCCGAAACAGGTAAAGTGATTGATAGAGTGGAAGGCGAGCGGTCGGACAACCTATCAGGTGCTTTAGCTTCAGCCGGAACTGCGGGTGAAAATGAAGCATTCAGTAATCAAATCGTCGTGCAAAGTCGGCGCTCAAGACCCGAATACGTTCAGTTTGCCCGCGTTGCTAAAAAGGTAGATGTTCGAAGACTGAAAGAAGAGCTCTGGAAAGGTATTGGTTATGATAATGCCGTGAGCACCTCCTCGTGGGCACAAGTTCGTTCGTATTAACTTACTCAGGAAAACAAATTAAAACCGACAGTCGAGGATGATCAAAACGGAGGAATGCAGAGTCTTAAGTTCACTACGATCATAAATAATCTTCACAAGGTCTATCCGAAGCAGATAATGAACGATATTTCTACAAGTTACTGCTTCATTTGTTTACTACATTTAGCTAATGAGAAAGGTCTCATTATCTCCGAGCAGCAAGATTTAACAGATCTAGAAATCGCAAAGGATAGATCAGCTTGAGTTGTGAGCAATGTACGTCAGTTGGAATTGTATGCACCAAGGGTGAAATAGGTTCATTGGTGGTGGGGTGGCGCATTGGAAATACCGTTTAGATTCCTCTTAATATTTAGAATTGCACGTCGATCTCCACGTGATTATATACGTCATAGGCCCACCGATCTCCGGACTTGTGTTAGCGACATTCCTCTTTCCGAGGCAGCAAGTAAAAAGCAAATTTACATCAATTAAATTTGGTAGTAAATACTGAACAGTGTCCACCTATTTACTAGTTTTCTCCTATCACTAAAGCCCGATGCCCGGTTGAGTACCGTGTAATTTATGCTATCTGGAAATAATTTACATCGCTCTATCCGTGCGCTTGGAGAAAGTATTTATCATTGGAATCAGACGGACAATCGTGCTTCTCACTTTCGCCTTTTCATTGTCTATGGTGCTCGTCATTTAACCAAGATACTCCGTGCCCAAGCATCTATTTTGATATCTTTGCCTTCCCTTCTCCCTACCTCCCTCTCACCATGTCCCTGGCGAAAGTGGAGCCCCCTGCTCAATGCATCGTATAAGCGTCAAGGTTAGCCTCGCCACGCTCATCTCAAACCTTTTTCCACCAATAAAACACCGGCTTAGCTAGTAGGGACAGGGATAGTTCTGCAGATATGGGGTCGGAGCGGCTGTTTACGCTCTGTGCTCAAATCTATAGGCCTCATGTTTGCTGATACAGCCCCCCCCGGCCCATACCTTTACTACCATTTCCAACTCCAATGAATACATGTTGATGCTCGGTTTTCTGGTGTGAAATACTGTTAAATTCGTACTGCTAGTATGAGGATACTCGGGTTCAGTCTCTGGCGATGGCTACCTGTGCTCCTGGCGCCAAAAGTCATTAATCTAGTATACGCCCTCCCCAACCAAGCATATCTTGCATCCTTCGAGGCACCCGAGATCCAGCTTAACAAAACTACTGCCATAAATTACCAGATAAACCTTACCATTGCTGCTTCGACCGTATCGGATCTATCAATTGTGCTCTGCCAGACGGCGGGTACGGTACTGGAAACAAATTCAATTGATGAGACTAATTCATGGAAAGTCTTAAACGTACTTTCTGGTAGGTTTATAGCGAACCCTCAATGTATCCCATATCTGGAATGCGTCGATTAACTAATTGGTAGGATTCTGTATCACCAACACATCACCTCCGCCAGAGACATGTAAAAATAATCCGTACCTTGGTCATGGCAGTGTACAGCTCAGCGTCTCAAAAGACGCTGCTTTTAACTCTACGGGCGATGATTCCCTTAATAACTTCTTTTTTTGCGTTACTCATAAGGATACTACATCCTCCATTGAATGCGATTATTCCAGCAATTTGTTTAACATCTCTCCTGCCGCGAGTAGCGCAAAGCCATCCGACACAGAGACGCTTGATACTATGCCGCCCTTCTTTCCTCCTCCTATCCCTATGATTGCTACAATAACATCAACAAAAAGCACCGTCCTTCAGACACAAACAATACCAGCCACACTCTCTTCGTCTTCGAAATCGACATCTCCCGCCAGCACTTCCTCCGCTCAAAAGAAGCATCTCTCCACAAGTACCACAATTGGAATAGCATTTGGGGTTTTCATTGTGCTTGTACTGCTTGGATTTATTGCCCTATTTTTCTATCGGAGATCGAGAACGAATAAGCGAGCTGAGACCGCCCGATCTCATAACAATGAGCCTTTTCTGGACCGTGGACATCATGCCGAAAAGGAAAATGTTGACTCGCCAACAAGCAATTCAGGCTGGATAATGTCACCTACAAGAGGAATAGATCAAAGCCAAGACATGGTAAAAGGCCCAGAGCAGATTAGATCATCTCTCGAGCCAGCAAGCCCAACCATCACAACAAACATGACTGGGGGTGAGACAGAAAGCCCGATGAATCCTATTGCCCGTCGAAGTCTAAGCGTCGTAAGCCGTGAATCTGCGACGAGCGTTGGTGTAAGTCCCATGCTAAGTCCACGTTCCGGATCCGGCTATGATGCCTTCGGCTGTGCCAGCGAGGAACTGTCCGGTATAGACATGGGTATGAGCTCTGGAATGAGCTCTGCTGCTCCATTCCTTCGTGAGGAAGGCATGAGTCCTGAGGAGATGGCGCGATTAGAGGATGAAGAAAGACGGATTGATGCTGCCATAGCACAAGCTGAAGCAGAACGGGGAATCAATCGACGTTAAACATACATAAAAAAATACATATTTTTACAATCACGAATGAACTGTGTCTTTTTGGCGCGTCGGATAAAGCTGAGAAACGGTGGAACGGAATTAGGATATTTCCTTTTAAACATAATCTAAAATCTATCACACTCCAATTACCTGTTACACACCTGATATATATTGACGTGCAACACAAATAGCCGTGTTAACTCCAATACACTGTGTCGTGAATCTACCATAAAATTTACAATTTCGTATGTAATTATCCTGTTCTCATCTTTAGGTCATACCAACAGCACTATCCTCTACCCGATAAAGTAAAAAACGGACCTGCTTGTTACTGCCCGCTAGACGTATGACCTTTTGGAATTACCTAAAATAAACCCGATGTGCCAAACGCCAAACCGTGTGGAACTTAGAAATACTGCACAAAAACGGAACAACTACGTCACTTAGGTTCTATGGTCGACTTTGATGGTAGGGCGATGGTGAATATCTACCAGGTTCCACAGCTATAGAATAGTTTGGCATGTGGGGTGTCCAACTAGCACCAGCCCCAGGTGTAAAAATGTTAGATACTGGGTATTGCATGTGACTCGGGCCATGTGTTAATTTCTGCAGAGATGTTGATGTAATATTCCCATTTTGACCCTGCAGTCTAAAATCCATTCCGATTTGGTAAGATTGTTGTTGATGAAATGCTTGCTGCCGTTGATGTATGGCTTGTTCAACAGCCTGACTGTTGAGACCCTGCTTTGCAACTTCTTTATCTCGTTCTCTAGCCTCTAGAGCTGCTACTAGCCCGGCCGATGGTTTTTGTTTGCCACCCGTTGCCATATTTATTAATGGCTGGCCGGTAACTCTGGAAAGATGTGCTTGCTCTCGGGCGGTTAGATGAGAGCCCATATCGCCATTACTGCCAAGGGCGGCCGATGCAGACCGCGAATTTGGGCGCTGGAGTGGGTCAAGCGAATTCCCACTAGAATGGTTCTTTCGTTGCACCATATCTTTCGATAGATTCCGCATGTGGCTACCAGTGCCAAGTACCTGTGAGGCTCCCCTTGAGCTCGGTCGCGATAAAAAGTCAGCAGATCCATTACGGAGCGTCAGCAATTCACTGGAAACATTCCTTGAATGATTGTTAGTCCCAAGTACCTGCGAAGCCCCAGCAGAGCCGGGGCGCGGTAATATGTCTGTAGAGCCGTTACGAAGCGAGAATAGGTCACTTGAAGCATTCATTGAGTTGTTGTGATTTCCAAGCACTTGTGAGGCTCCCCTTGAGCTCGGTCGCGATAAAAAGTCAGTAGATCCATTGCGGAGCGTCAGCAATTCACTGGAAACATTCCTTGAATGATTGTTAGTCCCAAGTACCTGCGAAGCCCCAGCAGAGCCGGGGCGCGGTAATATATCTATAGAGCCATTACGAAGCGATAGTAGACCACTTGAGGCATTCCTTGAATGCTTGTAGTTCCCGAGTGCCTGTGTAGTTCCCTTTGAGTTTGGGCGCGACAAAGATTCTGTAGATCCAATTTGGAGCTGGTCACCCATAGATATATAATCTATTGAAGTATTATTAGAATGAATAGCTTGGTTTGGCCTATCACTTATTACGTTCTTCGATGTAGAAGATACAGCTGGGTTTCGATTGGGGTCCAAAGACAGTACTCTCTGATGTGTATATAGGGGTGCAAAGCTTGCCCTTTGAGCCACGAAGTCTTCAGCTGTAATTCCCTTTTGCTGCATACCCGAATTGCCGTGGTTTGCTAACATAGGATTCCATGCCAGCGTTCGACTGATTTCCGCTTTCTCTGGGGTTTTAGAGCGCACACATGAGTCTGGCCCGCTGTTAGAGCTTAATTTTTGTGGACCATACTCATCTGTTTGTTCTTTCAAGTTGAAACTTGTACTCTTTGCTTTAGAGGTTAGAGGAGCATCAGAAGCCTTACACCTAGAGTAGTTTAAAGTGGGTCCAAAGTCGATTTCTAGGGAAAGAGGCTCTAAAAGGATGTCATTATTTACCGCATCTGGATCTCCAACGGTGCGCATCTTACCAGCGCGAGGCTTATCAATTGAGCGTAGAAACCCAAAAGGTGCTTCGGTGCTGGAACAATCAGAAGATTTGGTAGCCGAAGCATTTTCTGATCTATTTAAAACATTGTTTGTACTATACGATTCTGGTAGAGGACCATATTGTATATTATCAAAAATGTCTTGATCAAAGAATTTTCCATCTGGGCTCTTATTTTTTTGTTCAAGTACAGACTTTGATGGCGTTTCATTTTTAATCACCAGAGGAATATTCGGTAATGGCTTCTGGTCAACATCTGTACTCTTGCTTAGGCAGTTGCCACTAGAAGAATCACTTAGAGCTGGATTAGATCGTTTTTTATCTTGGGCTGCTGTAAATTCCTTTGAAGGTATGAGTGGTAATTGCTTCGTTGGCGGAGGATAAGGCAATGTTGATGGGTCAAAGTCGAACGAGTTTTGATCGTGGATAATCGCCTGCGGGTCCGAAGGGAGACACTCATGATTATTTTTGGCGTTACGGCGGTTTTTATTATTTTGAAAGCCGGGCTTATTTTTCCTTGTAGATTTCGCTTCATTGCTGGGATCAGATGGTGTAGATAGTTGCTCCTTGCTGTTATTCGGTGAACGAGTATAGCAGATTTTTGGGGATTCATCTAAATCTTGCGATTTTCTATGTTGACTATCTGGGCTTTCGTTTCTTTCTAAATCAGGTAAAACGTTGCTGGCATCGACAAGCTGGTTCAATGTATTTGTGGACATGCGACTATTAGCTCGACGGAGTTTTGATGAATGGTAGGGTTTGCTTAAGGGCATTGCTCCAGGTGCATGAACGAAAGCCGGCGGGGTAGCTACAGGCTCAAGGGATGATTCTGACTGAAGACCATTCAGTCCTGGTATAGTGTTCGTTTGGGGTATTACTTCGTCATCTGAACTAACCGTATCAGAAGTGTCGATGGTATCTATGACATGCCTTATTCCATAATTTGGTGAGATATGTTTAGACTTTTCAACAACTTTCCTGGCCGGTGCTGCTTGATTCTGGATACTACTGTTTGCATGGGTTTCAGATACTGAGCGATTATGAGTTTGATTCTGGGGCACAGCACATACACCTGCGGTTGGAGGGGCTGAGTCTGTCCGTGCCCTAGACCTACGGTTTTCTGCGATGTCAGGGGCATTCGGTGCCCAGGCAGTGGATGGCGTTGACTTGACAGACGTATTATCATCGTCATGAAATTGAATGCCACGTGCACGTCGTGGCCCAAGACTGTTACGAACAGTTCCCTGGCTGTCAATCTTGTTGCCGTTACCTGCCATCATACGTTTGGCAGTAAGTTCCTTCATATTTGTTCTCCATTGGGACTCTTTCCATGAAGAGCTTTCGGGCTCAGAAATGAGCTGGGAAACATCTAATATTTCTAAGTATCCATATTTCCTTTGTGTTGGCATCGCAAACATGAGACTACGAACATCTTCAGTTGCAGCCACTAAACGACCGGGCCGTCCGTACAGACCAAATGTATCAAAGACAGGAAATAGCCAGCGTAGCATCATCTCAAAGCCTGTGACAGCAGGGTGAACCTCAGGCATGACAAACACGAACCCCTCTGTGGTCGACGATGGATTAGAATGTATAGTTATAGACCCCTCCACTTTCACAAGAGTCGACGCATCGATCAAAGGTTTGGATTGTGGGTAAATCGCAAAGGCAGAATAGGCGTCAGTGATAGTGGCAATGGGTTGAACTTTTTTGGTTCGCTTGCTGTTAAAGAACTTGATATCTCCTCTGAGCGTTGGCGGCTTGGAAAGGTCGTAGATTGATTTTTTCTTTCGTTGTTTCTGCTGCTTTAACACTTCCTTTTCATCTGGTGGAGAAATAACACACCAGCACCTTCTCCATGGTGTGCCTGCACCAAAGCGTACTCTAACCCAGTCGGCTGAGGGGTACCTTGACCGTTCCATAATGGCGTTGATATTATTAAGGGTTTTCCCTTTACCTGCAATTAACGCCCCTGTATAAGCTTCTTGTAATGTTGCGTGTTCATACATCGATAGGCGAATTCCGGAGGTCCACTGTATAAGGGAGTGATGGGAATTGAAATGTAATAGGTATCTATTTTTTCCCGCTGTTGAAATACTCAAAACATTTTGAAGACACACGTCATTTTGAGACCTAGTTGGGAGAGATTCAATCTATACCTGTTAGCCATAACATTTGAATAGACAGGAATGATTCACCATTTTTATTGACGCATCAGTAAGGTTTATAAATTTGGGCAATACCTCTCCATCTTGCCCAGCTTCATCTAATTCTGATGCGTCCCAAAGAGACAATACTGTTCCGACAAGCTGTGCAAAACACTCGGTCCAGCTTCGATCAGTGTTCTGTCGCCCTTCTATACATGTATTTAGATAAAATATCTTTAATGTAAGAGAAATCTACCCACGTGTATTTTGGTCGTCTAATTTCAAGAAATATCCTTCTTGGTAAAGCTTGTTCGCATGATTGTTTAAGAACGTGAAGACTGGTTGAAGTTCAGGTAAAGTGTCTTGATTAACATCCATCAGTGGTGGCTGATAGATTTGGAAGGTTGATAGCGGTCTTGAGCCAGAAGGGACACGCTCGTGCTGGGGAAGCTGGGTGGGTTCTTTCTTCTGATCATTTAATGATGTTTGTCTTGGAGGTCCTGAACAGTCTTGATATTCTTCAGGCACAGATGGAGAATCATACTTTGACTGAGAGGTGGTGATTGAGTTTAGGATGTTGCGATTTTCCTTGCCACTAGATGAGAAACTGGAGATAAAAGACCGCACTTTAGATCTGTTAGCAGAGGAAGAAATAATTTGCGAGACTCAAAGCGTTATTCTGACCTCGATTTCGATTGCCCATGATGATGAATTTGGTCAGCCTAGACTCTCAACAACTAGATCTGATTTTTTAAAGAGAGATAGGCCAGATTAGGCTTCAGCATCGGCGGATGGGGAAGATCAAAGATTCCAAACGCTGGAGGGCAGCTGTATCCGCGTTAGGGTGCCGATTCCCCTTCACATGACCCAAAGCAAGTATAAATAGCGACTAAAGGTGGAAAGAAAACACTGTTGCTGTTGGGGACAAGTTGATGCTAGCAGGGAATGTTAGGGGATGTGGTAGATGTCACTGCGGCGGCGGCTAGAGAAGGTGCATTCCTCAATTATGTCTCCCCCGGCTATTTAGAATTGACAGTGTTATTAACTTGACAGGGAAACTCCTCAGATATCGTGAGTGTGAGGAGAATAAATCACATGGCATTAAAGATCCTACAGCAGGCGGCCATTCACCTCACTCATATCAGACCGGCTTGGCGACTGACTACAGCGTTTCGACCACTCATAAGGGGGGGGATTACATGATGCCGAAATAAGCTGGATTAAGGGTCCTACATATTACCAGCATTCATGTCCACAATACTTAAGCCCCAACTATTTTTAAATGACAGCCCGAGGATGCCGAAAACTTTTGTTGAGCCTTATTTGTGAGCTTCAATCCGGGCTTCGACCCAACACCTTTAGACCAGACTATATTTGGATGTAATTACAACAATAGATTAACTAATCTCAGGTAACAATTTTAGCGGCGAGCCTTTAAATCATTATTGACTTGCAAAATTCCAGCATAAACTTTTTTTATAAACGCTTGATTAAAGTATGAAGCCAACCCCACGAATATTTCTGTTAAAGTCGAAGTAAAGCTTAGCCCCGAGCGTGTGGAACGGTGTTATATACTTTCTGAATTTGTTTATCCGCCATCAAAATGTGTATACGTGTCACTCTACAGAGCATAAGGTGTTACATCACCCGCGCGCCAAGTTCGATGTCATCTGTGTAAGATGCTATGACCATGTAGCAAAAAGGCACTGTTTATTGAAGGGGAATATGATCTATTGCCTAATGGCCTTTGTAACCTCACCTGTAATCTTGAGAATGCTACTCCTGCATATTATCTTGGTTGTTAGTATGAGAGGTCCAAAATCAATTGCACGATGTTCTCGACCCCCTTCCCCCTAGATACAATAACGTTGATTCCATCTTTTTTTCTACCCAGCCCTCCCAATTCTCATCTTCTTCTTTCTTCCAGCGGTGACAAGCCTATTCAGGTCTTTGCCGATCAAAAAAAGCATGAAGATATCGATCCAAGATTTGTGACCACAAAAGACTGCCTCGACTTAACGGCCACATAAGACCGACAGCTGAGTTAATTGGGAGACGAATCCGTACATGATGATGCTGGTTATGTGTTTCACATGCAATCAATACTTGGCACGCAAAGTTTTGATGGCATGCTAAAGGCCGCATCGGGTTTTGTCTAGGAAGCGCACGTGATTTAATGGTGGACTTCAACTGGTCAGCCTGCGGCGATCCTCAGGATACAAGGACCAATCAACTAATTGTTTGGCGGCACTCGTCATCCGCCGGTAACCTGTTCAGTCAACACGAAATTAATGCATAAATACTAGCCGATGCATATTTTGATAAGCGCATCTGTGTGTCGCGGTAACAGAGAGAAGGAAGCATTCGAGAGAACCTGCACTATTTTAAGCAAAGGCCAGTCATCTTTTGTTCACTCATGAGCAAAATAAGCGATGGTGAAGGATTGAATTCTTCGATCGATTTAGACATGGTCAAGAGATACGGTAAGATTAGAATATTTTGACCGTTTTAATTAGCTGTTTCAATATCTAGAGAATTGGACCCACGTTTGCTATCTAGATATACTTTCCGCAATGAAACCTTCGTAGCAAGATTTGTAGAGGCAATAAAATTGAAAGAAAATTCGGATACTTGAAGTTCATCCCCCCTATGCTACAACAGCAGCAACTGAAATCTGCGAGCAATGTCTCTAAACAGATTTGGAGTGAGTTGCTGGTCATGACCTGAGCTGCTGGCAAATTTTGGAATGCTGACGGCCCGACGCATGAGACAGTGATCCCCGACTCTCTACAGCTTCAACCCCATGCCCATGACAGGGCTCATTTCCATCAAACCTCTCATCTATTCAAAGGTAATACTTAGTAACCATCCTTTAAATTGGCTACATTTCCCATTTAACCAACCTATGCATTTGATTATCTCTCTACCCACGCACCTGGTGATCAGAGTATTCAAAAGAGGACCCAAAAGGCAGTACATAAATAAGATGAGTCAGTTTCGAGGAAAAAGATGAGATGAGAGATGACATTCCGCCAAGTAAAAGGTGGATTTTGTGATGGAGCACACAATTTCAAAATCGGTAGAGTAATGCACTTCTCAAAGTCCTATTATCGAGTATTTTGTAATTATTTTGCCACATGATTCAGGTTGACTTGAGCATAAATGTTGAACTCTTGTAAAATTCTCCGTCCATTCTCGGCTCATGATTTTATCAAGCATAGAACCCATTTTAATCTAGAGCTCAATGTTGGCTGGATGGGGGAGATAGTGAAGGGCTAAGGGCTCCTCTAAGTGTATGATCTAATGAGGACTTGTGAGGGGTGCTATTGGTTGAGCGGAGCTGTATGGGAGGCATAGCAGGGAAAATACTACTGGCATAGATATCCTTGGCCTGTAGGCAGAGAGGACCTGCATGTCCTACATAGTTATTGGACTATTTTGAAAATGGAAGTAGAAGGTAACAAATCATAGAAGGGTTGCTTCTCAATTCTCTGGCTATCGAGTATCTAAAATACATAGTTTTCCTCATTTGAAACCCTACTAGATAACTCGCTGGCAATAATGCTACCACCGAAACATACCAAACCGTGCTCAGGACAGATAAGATGAGAATACCATCGGAAACATAAATGTAAACCCAATTCAAAGTATGAGTTATGTAAAATCCGAACAAAAAGATATTTTCCTTGATACACATCATGTATCAGCATTAACTTCTCCGACCCGAGTCATGTTATGAGTCAATTCGGGTAAACCTAAAATAACCGTAGCTCAACAATAGTCATAGACTCAGACGGGACAATAAAATGAATAATATATATATATATATATATATGACAGCTTCAACATAATACTATTTCCCTTGAGAGCTTTCCTAAGTCGTGTAATTAGGGACCCTTATTGCCCTGTGACATCTCCGTTTCCCAAGAAGTAAAGAAACGGCTCCGGAGTTTGACAATATCACCGTCCAACTTCTCGAAACCTGCTTGAAGCCGATAGGAACGTAAATTAGGGATCTCTCCCAGGCGTGTTTGAACTTTGTAAATTTTCCTTCATCCTTCATGGTAGCCAAAATGGTACTACTTCCAAAATCAGAACGCCACCTATCTGGCCCAATAGGATGCCGATCACTATCACTAATCTCCTGTTTAGACAAGGGACTGGAAAAGCTTATGGCAAAACAGATGTCCTGGCTTGCGATAAATCACAAGGCAGTGTCTCAATAACTGTTCGGCGTACTTCCAGAACGCTCAGCAGTTGACTTAGTATCATGCGTTATACACGATGTAGAAGCTGCAATGAGATCGAACAAAGTCACAGCTATAGTCACGCTTGTTGTAAAAGGTGCCTCTGATGTAGTGCTACACAGTCGGCTGCTCGCACGAATGCGAAGACAGGACTGACCTTTATCGCTATTTCGCAAGTCAGAACCCTTTCTGGCATAGTGAAGAGCCCTGGTATGATTAAAAGAAAGTGTTACTGATGAGAAGCTTGTTGAGTGCGGTGTCCCACAAGGATCACCACTTTCGCCTCCTTTATTCAAGTTATACATCTCAACTCTACTCGAGGATGGCACTCCAAACTGAAGGTTCGGATAAGCAGACGATATCGCCACTGCTCGAGTCGATAAAATTCTTAGTGAAGCTATTGAGACTGTATAGGTAGAATTAGACAGAATAATCCAACATACTTCGGCATAGACGATTAAATTTGACCTACCTAAGTCTGCGTTACTTATCATTCAGGGAGGACCTAATGAGGAACTAGACTCATCAAAACTGACAGTTAGAGTCGGTGAAAAGCTTATTTTGCCTTCTCTATATGTTCGATTGCTCTGAGTTTGGCTGGATTCACAACTAACATTTAGACATCATGTCTAAGAATGGTGAAGTAAGCCACAAAGATTGTCTCACTTCCTATGAAATATCAACAGAGTACGGCAAGATGCTGCTCCGAGACCGTTGATTCGGGCAGTTAATGCGTGTGAAGTCAGTACGGCAATATAAAGCGCCGAGGCGTGGTGGTGAGGACTCACTCGTATCATGACAATATGAGATGAGAAAGTAAGTTTAGATGTTATAAGGCACCTCAAACTACTGGACAGGACTATTTTGACCTCAATTCGAGCTACACTACCAGTCTAGCGAACTATGCTAAATATATATCTTAAGAGAGAATCAGGAATTTTACCTGCAGCTATTATCGTATAGCAGCGACAGCTCCGAAGTGCAGTATGAATCCGCCGACTCGATAGCTTTCATCCATCGGCGTCAAGGGCACTTAAGACACCCAAGGGGGTAATCAAGTGACTAAGACTGCGATAGAGACAGAATTATCGTGCCTTCAGGGTCACTGACAAACACATGATTATATCCTACCTACATGGAAAATTCAAACTCATCGCAAAATAGCATGCCTCCTAGTAGGCTCAAAAAGCCTGTTATGTACAAATCTCCCGTTGACGTTATCACGCGCTTGGCGGCGCGCGTGAAGCTCAAGTCTTTCCTTCAAATTGTAAAGGAGGAGGCTGTTATGGCGGTCGTCACTGAGAGACAACAATCTCTGGCTGAATCAATTCTAATAGACTTAGAAGATGAGTTTATGGACTTAGAATCAGAAGTTGATTGTCTATCTACCTCGAT